ACCGCAATCTCATAGAGGCTGATGATTCCAGGAATTGAGAGTAAAGAAGGCTAGGAAGTTACTTGTTAAATTGTGGGAAATAAAGGAGAAATTGGCCCATTTTGAAGCCCATGAAAAGCATTGCCGTTTTAGAGATCTGACGAAGTTTTAATGAAGAAGTAGACAGAATGATAGCAATTGAATTAAGCAAGTATGAAATTCGTTCAAGCGAGATGTTTGGGATGGATATATTTAAAACATGTGGAACGTTTGGAGGATATAACAAATTATATGTCAGGGCGCGTGCTTCCGATAACAAAGGAAAAATATATATCATTTACTAAAAGTTTAGATCAAAATTTAATAAAATTCCGCTTTATCGACTCCTTTAGGTTTCTCCTATGACGCCATGGACAGCTTTTGAAAAATTTTATAACCGTTTAGAGGACAAGAACATTTCGTCTAAACAGTTCGCGCAGCTAAAACCTAAATTATAAAAATTCTTTTACCATGCCTATAGTATTTCATAATCTAACCGGATATGACTGACGTGTTTGAGCAGTTTCGCTGCAGTTGCCATAAAACATACGGTCTCGATCCAGCTAATTACTAAACTTTACCTGGGGCTGTATGCTCAAATATACTTGAAGTTCGTTAGAGCTTCTAACGGATATCGAACAAGTATTGTTTGTCACCCAGGAATTTCATGGGAGGAAAGAATGTTCAACTTCCGCTGATCGATAATATGGCAGCCGCTGAGCTATTCAAAGGAAAATCCTTCAACTACAATATACAACTATTTTCTTCGGAACACGTACCAGAGTCCGACATTAAGTCAAACGCTATATTTGGGAAAACCACGGAAAATATATATTACAGACTTTTCAATGGAAATTGAGTTTTTATCAAAAACGCGTATAGAACGTTATTAGATATAAACACTCGCCGATTTTATTTCAACAGAAGAGATGAGTTAGAGCAACGGCGACAAAGGTTCTATAATATAGCGGTGTGTAGTTGTTGTAATTTTATTTAAGTGAGCGAGCCCGCGAACTAGGGTAAGCGACCATTACATCGGCGACAAAAAAATGAACGAGTGCAAAGTCAGGCTACCCACCGAACACCAAAAAGATTTAAAATTTAAAAAATAAAGGCTCCATTCGTTGTGTATGTCGACCTTGGGGCGTTTTATCAAAAACGCGTATAGAACCATTAGATATAACTACTCGCATATTTCACTTTAACAGAAGATGCGAGATAGAGCAACAGATAAGACAGAAAAAAGTGAGCGGCAGATGCAAAGAACATTTCAGAACAGCGTTTTCCGTACATTAGTAGGTATAGAGAATAGGAAAACTTTATCAAAAACGCGTATAGAACCATTAGATATAACTACTCGCATATTTCACTTTGACAGAAGATGCGAGATAGGGCAACAGATAAGACAGAAAAAGTGAGCGGCTGATGCAAAGAACCATTCAGACCAGCGTTTTCCATACATTAGTAGGTATAGAGAATAGGAAAACTAAAATATACGCAAAATTGAGAGGACTGCTGCAATGGTTTGAATACAAAAGATCATTTTAGTGAGCGAGCCCGCGGACTAGGGTCCATTGCTTTTTAGAATGAATATAGGACTTTCCACGCAGAAACTAATGGTAAGATATTTCAAATTAATTTAATCACCTTCTGTCTCCTAAAGGCTTTCGAGAAGTTGAAAATCCGGAGGCTGTCGCCAGAAAACCAGCTAGCTGGAAAATTCGACGACGTAGTTTTAGAATGTAGCGAAGGGGTCGTTTTAATACAAACAAAATATAAAAGAAATAAGAAAGTCGCCTTTGAAGAAAAACAACAACTTTAGTCTGACTAAATATTTTCTGTCGTATCAAGAAGGCAAGTCTAACTTTCGAGTAAAGAATGTTATTATGTGTACCAACGCTTCTATCACGGTAGATGGAGACAACCAGAAATTTTTAAACAGACAAATTGCCACTTCTGAGAGCATATTATACTGCCGAGGGCACGTCTGTTGGTTTTACACAAGTACACATACCTGGCGCATTTCATGCTGTACACGTCTCTAGATAACCGTTCGTAAGCATTCACAAATCTGATATCAAATAATAATCCAATAAGTCAGTAAAGACAAGGAAGATTCACAATCAACATTCTCGGAAAGCTGTTTGAAGGAAAAATGATTTAAAATCTCAACGGAGGATTGTTTTGTATAAACAATAAAGAAACAGATCTTTTTCCGCAAAGGCATTACCAAGTTTGACCAAAAAGGCCAAACATTCTGTATAAGATCACTATGGACGAACACAAGATGAAAATCAAAGGGATCGAGCAAGGTGCTGCAAACTACCACATTTTGAGGCCGACGAAGAGCGCTGTCATTTAGACAGTCGTGTAAGAAAGACTAAGCAACCATTACATTGGCGACAAAAAATGAACGAGTGCAAAGTCAGGCTACCCATCGAACGCCAAAAAGATTAAAAATTTAAAAAATAAAGGCTCCATTCGTTGTGTATGTCGACCTTGGGGCGTTTTATCAAAAACGCAAATAGAACCACTAGATATAACTACTCGCCTATTTCACTCCAACAGAAGAGGTGAGATAGAGCAACAGATAAGACAGAAAAAAGTGAGCAGCTGATGCAAAGAACCTTTCAGGCCAGCGTTTTCCGTACATTAGTAGGTATAGAGAATAGGAAAACTGAAATATACGCAAAATTGAGAGGACTGCTGCAATGGTTTGAATACAAAAGATCATTTTAGTGCCAAAACTCTGATTATAAAAGTACACATACCTGCACTTCACACTGTACACTTCATCTTCTAGTACTGCCTCCCGTACGCCTAGACAGGAACTACCTGAAAATTTAATATAGTATTAGAAGGAAAAGGGTTAACGTTGTATGGTATTAATGCATGTTTTTTGCATGTCGCGTAATAAAGGCGTTTGCGTATATGTTTTCGGAATTCCTTTAAGGTAAAGACGCGATAGCAATAAGGGTGAACTTTAACAATTTCCACACGAACCACACTCCATACTTGTGAGATAATAAAAAATTACGGGGAACATCTCTTCTAATCAAAACAGGATACACGAGCCGTTCTACCACCACCCCCGCAAATTACTTGCAAAACAGATAATACTTCCGCAATGCAGATATTAAGGCAATTTTTCAAACCCATTTCTCAAAAAATGTACTACTGTAAGGAGCGCAAAAGCGTGTTCTGTTTCTGCAAAAAACCCTCGAGTAAGTATATGAATTTTAAAAATCAGCCTAATCGAAGCTTTCAAACCATTCTGATAAACCACTTCGTTTGAAAAGAAGGCGCGAGGAGTGTCGGAATCATCAAAAATTTTAATACAGCACTTGCGGGAAGGTGTCTCGATTTGCGTGTAGATAAAGATATAACCGTACAGCAAAAAGGATAACATGATAATGAAATTACAACCATTATCGAGGAACTGAAGGAGACTCGAATAATATCTTAAGTCGCGACGTTACGTCACGTTTACGTCACGTTACGTTTACGTCACGTCGTCACGTTTTACGTCACGACGTCACGTTTTACGTCATGTCGTCACGTTTTACGTCACGTTGTCAGGTTTACGTCACGTTGTATTAGCCGTTTGTTAGCCGTTGTTAGCCGTTTTGTTTACCGTTTGTTAGCCGTTGTTAGCCGTTTTGTTGGCCGTTGTTAGCCGTTTTGTTAGCCGTTTGTTTTATGTTGAATATATATGGCATACCTTATAGGTATAACTCATTTGATGTTTAGCATCCGACATGTTTACATGCAAAGTCTGTAGTGCTGTAGTCTGTACCCAAAGAGTTGTTCCTGGATATTGCTTGGAATATTTCGTTAGCGAATTCAAGACCAACACGATAATGAAGCTCTAATGTCCAAGTTGTGCGAATTAAAAACCCGGAATGATAAATTGGAAAATTACATAGAAGATATAAGTCCAAAGGTCGTTAACCCGAACAAACGACACATGTTTGCTATAATACAGAAAAATCAATCAGCCGAGTATCCGTACCTGCAATCCTTGAAGAAATTGCAGAAGAAGCACCCGAAAGCGCGCGTCGTGGCAGATTTAGAGCATAATCCCAACAGTATCAGCCTTTTTAATCGCATCAAGGGCGAGATACCGTATATTACATGTAAATGACGTTAATAAAATGCTAGAAATTGATTAAAATACGAGCGCCTACTCCCTCCACTCCTACATAATAAGAATACCTTGAGCAAGCGCCTCATTTTTGTCTTGTTCTTGGTAGTGACAAGTCGTGAAAATGAAAACAGCGTTCTACTTTAAAGCAAAAGCCTTGAGAGAGATAAGAAAGCTAAATATTCGCGACGATGTATTAATTAATCAATGGTACTTGGATAAACAGCCTTCATGTTATATCCGTTATGAAGGCGAAAAACCCGTATAGTTTGCCTTGCTGTCTAAAATGGACTTTGACCCCTTCAACAAGCATTCAAATCCAAAGACGTTCAACTACATTTATGCGCTGGAAGCGCATCGTAGAAAAGGACATGCTGCAGCCCTTGTAGACCATGTGAAAGAACGTGAACAGTTTTCGGCGTTTTGCAGTAATGAAGCCTCAGAGAATTTATTTAAAAAATGCGAATGTAAAAATTACGGTGAAATGTATTGTAATGTTATGTACAGATATCCTTAATAAAAGTTTGTAACATATGATTGAGTATTATTATTATTTCTAACCTTTTTGGAAATGAATGAAAAAATAAAACAGGTATGTAAAATATGTATTTATTTTCCAATAAAATTGTGACACAATACAGAGCACTCTACATATATAGCTCTTCGAAACACCTAGTCAGTAGAATGGAATCGTAGGAGCGTGTCACACTGGTAACGGTATTGTTGTAGGAGCCGTATTCTACATCTCTACAATTACCAGTAGTTGAAGTACAATTCTTCCAGTATTTCAGATGGTTTGTTTGTTTTTAATGTATGTTGTCTGCTGGGACACCACAGATTATTCCATAATACTGTAGTGCCCCCATGGCAGCGTCTCATACGATCCCTTTATCAAGTATCGCTTATCGTCGTGCGGACTCAAAGCTATTTTTTCATGATGAGTCATTGTGAAGACTGCATGTTTTTCTGATTTTATCAAATTTTGCTGAATATATTTATTTTTGAAATTATCGACACACTCGAGGTAATCCTCGAGCGTGATGAAGTTGTTGATTACCGATTTTTTTATACCCTTAATTTTCTTTGTTAAAGCCACGTCATCGCCATCAGATCGTTTAACGGTATACATTTTGGACCTAAGACCTACGAAAAGTTCCATAGGCATACCGTTAAACTCATCTTTCATCATACCCAAGACTTTTTTATTGACTTGAGGGATGTTGTACCTGTTATCGGCGGGATAGTCTGAAGTATCGAACCGAGTGTGACAATCGCGACGCACGACTTCATAGACGTCTTTATTTGTGATTTCATATATCAGCGAGTCGGTGTCGGTATAAAGGACTGAGCAGTCGTTCCCAAACTCGGGCGCCATATAGTCATAATGAAAATCGTATATGGTGGTTTTGGCTAGGTCCAAGATCGACATACCAACGTATATCGGCTTGTTGAAGAAGACCTCGGTCTTATTTAACTCAACAGCAACCAAATTCTCGTTGAAAATGGTAGCCGCTTTGAACTCCGGTTTAGATATCAATGCCTCCGCACCATAACGCCCGTCCCATTTGTTTACTAATTTGACTATCGAATGCTTGCGGATGTTCTCCATGGTTTTTCCTAATACTGCATTATTCATTAGCTTGAACAAATTTTTTTCAAACTCGTTTTTAGCTGCCTGACGTAACGCGGTATTCAGATCGATGTAAGACATACGCCATGGAGACTGCTTAAATTTCAATACGCGATGAATTTTCGTAAGTTTGAGTCCGTGTTTAAGAGCTTGTTTTAAAGCTCTATAGTGAATAACGTACCGGGTCTTATTGTGTAAAGTTGCCAAAAGTTTAAAATGTTTATATCCGGGAGGAGCGCTATGTTCGGGACAGAAAGGTAAGTCGCGATGTGAGTCATGTAGATGAGCCGGATATTCCAAATCAACTTCAAGCAAATAGCCTTCAGATGAAGTGTCTGATACGCTGGTAACGTCGATGTTGGAATCTACCCACTCAAACCCACCGTATGGCAAGTACTGGCTCATAGCCCTACCGTATTGATTGTTAATGTCGAAATAGGATAAACACTTTACCCGTTTACTCGGGTCGAAATTTGGAAGATACTTATTATTAGCCGCGCTTTTACGTTTAGAGCATTGACTTAGACCTCCACGAATTCCCCGTTCGACAAACATTACCATATCGATATCGATCAAAAGTTCTAATGTCTGGCGTGTCTTAAACAGCATACAGGCCCAGGTGTATCCAGGTAGAGTGTAGTAATTCGCTGGATCGAGGCCATATGTCTTGAGACAACTGCTTCGAAACTGTTCAAACACGTCAGCCAAAAGTAAAATATCGGTTTTCATGTTCAAGTCCGTGTACTCGCCTAAATTTTGAATTTTGAATGTATTCCAAACATTTTGCGCGTGCGCGAACTGTTTAGACGAAATGTTCTTGTCCTCTAAACGGTTATAAAAGTGTGGTTCCGGCAGAGACTGGATATTAAATTTAGCAAAGCTATCCATGAAGTCATACGGATACACCCCCTTTTTCGTTAATAAATTAAACTCATCGTCGGCTAGTTCGGAAAAGTCTGATTTTAAATTTGGAAACTCGATCAAGTATGATGATAACGTATCTAATGCGGAATTCATGAAACGGAAAGAGTCAATAAAACGGAATTTAATTAAATTTTGATCAATATTTTTGGTAAACGAAATGTATTTTTCCTTAGTTATCGGAAGTACATCAACCCTACCCGGCAGGTCATTCGCGATATTTTCCAAAATAAAGTGGGCATCGTACCCGCTCAGGTTGTGAAAAACAACAGGTATAACAACCCCATCCTTGTAATTAATGTTACACGCGTTGTGCGCGGCGCCCCTGTAGTTATTCTCCGGAGTCAAATGAAAATGGTCACGGACTTTAACGTCCTCTGGCTTAAACGGCTGTTCACAGATGTGGCAATGAGTGGCTTTATGAAATTCGGCTTCTTGCGCTGACGTCATGGAAATATCGTAAGGGCATAAGAAAACCGTTTCTACGTCCTCGGCAAACGCAGACATTTCGCGAGCGAACCAAGACATGCAGTCCTCACCCCTATACGAGCGATAAAAGGATAATGAAGGATCGTATGAACACTTTACGTAGTACCCTACGGCAGCAGGCACATGCCGTTGGTATTTGCTGCCATCATCCACCTCTTTAAGGATACTCTAGAGGTCGGCGTAAATGGTAAAGGGGACCTTTTCTTTATTTCTAAAGTTTTTAAATTTTAGGTCTTTTTGGTCTTCGGTTGGTAGCCTGACTTTACACTCGTTCTGATTTTTGCTGTCGATGTAATGGCTGGTTAGTCTTTCTGCGGATGAAAAGTAGTGCAGACATCGATCACAAAAATGCTTCTTAGCATGATCTTTGCTAAGTTGAGACGATAAGAGGCGTGACAGGTCCTTTATCCAGACATAGTGGTATTTCATTGGAGGGCCATTAATTTTTTAATTTTCATCATCGACATCGTCTTAGTATTGATCTTGAATCATAAGCAGGTTGACATGCTTATCTTTTTTGTTCTTTGTCAAATAAACTGGGTGTGTGGTGAAGTTCTTTTTTCTCTTTTTGAGGCAGTATACGTTAACCGATACCCCGTTTTGTTTCTCAAACCTGGGTATCTGCTTCATGGTCATTGCAAACTGTATACCCGTCAGGTTGAGTACCGTTGAGAGTTGAGGATATGATGATGTTCTACCAGGGTGATGATGATGATTATCGGTAACAGGATACAAGGCTGATGTCACCGCCCACGCAAAACAGGCGTCGTCGTCATTTTTTACGTTGACGCATGCCTGCTTCTTTTTAATTGATGTGGGTAAGTCGATGTACGATGACCCCAGCTGTGGCGCGAACTTGTTGATGTTGATCCCCAAGTTGGTTATGGAGCTCAACGTCCAGCCGCTATCACGCTCTTGGAATTCGTCGAGCTCCGTAGAAATCGGTATCACTACATGTTCGTGAAACCATGCCTCTAGATTAGTATCGCGATAAATTGGCGAATTCTTAGTCGTGAAATATTTCGGCTCCTCCAGAATTCTGTCGGCTTTCTGAAGCCGAAACTGCCCGCCGAACACCGAGTTGACTGACTGTCTCTTCCTTCTTCAACGCGGTAGCAATGCGCCGCTTGAAGAGTGCGAAGCTGTCCTTGAGGAACTCCTTGGGGTCCTTGTGTTTTAAATTGCTTATTACGCCGGTGCGGATGCGGCTATCGAAAGCATTAGCCGAATCATCCCAATGGACGCGATGTTTTGCGGTTTTCTTTGGATCGGAAGAACAGCCGGCACCCGTCTTCTTTATGGACTTAAACTGACATCTAAAGGATTTTATTTGGGCCAGCTGTGTCAATAGCTTTTGCTTTTCCCCAATGGTTTTGACAGTTTTTAGCTGATTTTTTATATTTCGCACAGCTTTCGTGCACTGCCGAAGTCCATCCATCGCGGTTTCTTCAGTATAAGATTTTTTCAGAATGCCGAGTAGGGCACATATTTGGTAGCACAAATACTTTAGAATATCTGATGCAGCCATTATGCTATCACTTCAAAGATTGAAGATAGACTGGCTAGAAGGCCGTAGGAGGTGCGTAGTTATCACCTTTCAGGTAACTAGTGTCGGTGAGATCTAATTTTGATGCCTGAAAAGAGGTCACGTGGTTAAGATGCGTTTGATTAAAAATAGGGTGTATCTCACAAAAAATTTCAAAGTATAAGACAAAAATGAAAAAAATTTGAAAGTGTGTAAAACGAAAATATAGTGGGTGCTTTCTACCTACTAGGGGCAAGCATATCATCGATCGCGAACAAATGAAAAAATCGATGAAACCCACTATCTTACTGCAAGACGTTTAATTTGATATGCGACACGCCATATTTTAAAAAACTCACCTTTATTGAAGACTTTTCAACACCTTTTTAAAAAACTGATAATTTCAAATATGATAACAGCGCGGAGATAAGACTCAAGACAGCGTACTGATACGAAAGGAAAGACCAGATATACCGACGTATCCGGCTTTTATACTCCGCTGATGATCTCGAAACTTTCTCCTAATCTCGAACCTGTCCCTAACGGTCGAGCACGTAAGATGTAGAAAACACGTGATATGCGTGGTGGTAGTGGTGCGCATCTTAAGCTTAATAGCTTTTATAATCGTTCTTTCTTCGCTGATCTGTTGAGGTGTACGGAGGTGTAGTGCTCGCGGGGCTCGTGGGCTGGTGGTCGACTTTCTTCCTCACGTTAGCGTACAGGTACCGCTTTCATGCGGGAGAGTACAGCCCTTGGCGTCTGTAATACCAGTCCTAATAAGATAAGGGTCGTCGCCTTCAAGGGGCACGTATAGATAACGCTTTCGTTTGTGCGCATGCGTGCGAACATATTTTTTTGTGGAATTGAGTTGCCGGGGCTTCCAACTAATTATTGCTGTTGTTGAGGCTCCTATGGCTATCAAAGAACCGCCCCCACCCTATAGCCCGCCTCTGCAGCCACCCTCTGTGGCCGTTTACCGCTTTCCCTTGGCCCATCTGGTAAGTTTTTATAATTTTTTAATTGCTTCAAAGCTGAAAATTATAATTGTTTTATGATAAATATAGAAATTATGAAAAATTAAATATAAAAAAATTTAGTATTCCATCAAGCTGTACTTGACTAAAATTTAAATATGGAAAAATTATTTTATGAAAATTTATGAAAAAATTATGAAAAATTAAGAGTCAATAGTAATTTTTAATGGAAAGTCACTTATCATCACAACGAATCTGTGTAGTTTGAAACACGGCCGTCGAGCTGTTTAAATGGTGCTAGAAGTGCTGCGCGCGTATTAGTAATATTTCCTAACACAAGACAGCCATTTTATCGTTTCGATAGCCCGAAGGCCTTTCGCGCTCGCGAACGAATTTAAGTATTTCGCGTTTGGCTGGAACCTTTTTCGTTGGCAGGGGAAAATCCAATGATTACCCTTAGGTAATCGTTTAAGATAGATCCCTACACGACCACGGGTACCTGTATCAAGCCAGCATATGTAACTGTGTATTGAATCGGTACAAACGACGCGATCTGAAATGCAAAACTCAAAGCAACTTACCCTTCATATGCCTTGCGGGCTCCGTGTCTCTGTCGTTCTGTTGTTTTGTTTTGAACTTCATGCCTCTGTCGTCCTGTATAATAATACTATTTTTCGGTTTGATTTTTTACTTCATAATTTTCTGTTAGAATATTAGTACTAATTTAAATATAAATTTTTTCGATCTGATTTATAGCACTTTTTTGTCACAATTTTTGGCCTGATTTTTTAAGATTTTAGTAAATTGCCTTTATCTTTTTTCGATAAAGATTCGTCTAATTACTGTTATTATAATAAAGCCCTGTATTATATGAGGATTATGCTTTTTATTAAATTTTCGGTTAGTTAAGGTTTATTATGATCAAGTGCTTTTTGCTGTATTAAATAAGCTGAAAATCTGAAATGATGAAATTTGAAGCAACTTACTCTCTGTCTGCTATTTTTTGTGTTGTTTTTGGTTTCCATGTCTGTCGTCCTATGGGCAACATTCATGTCTTTCCAACGCTGCTCCCTCTCTCTCTGTCTTTCCGCTGTCTATAAAATTAATGCTTTAGATTTTTAGCCGCCATCTTGTTGTTGTCAAATAATTTCTAACTTTTTATAAAGACCCTGTAGCTATTGTTTTTTCTCAACTGCTAAAATAACACCCTGTATAATGCTTGTTTTAAATAAAAAAAATTTCAATCTGATTTTTGGTTTTGATTTTTATGGTTCTGGTAAATTGCCTTTCTCTTTTTTCGATAAGGATTCGTCTAATTACCTATTGTTTAATTGTTTTTGGCTCATTTTTTCGGTTATTATAATAAAGCTCCGTATTATAGGTGGATTATACTTTTTATTTAATTTTCGGTTAGTTAACGTTTATTACGATTAAGTGATTTTTGCTGTATCAAATAAGCTCTTTTACCAGCTAAATTATGGTTTTCAGAATACTAATATGTTTTGGGGATTTTTAGCTTGTTTTCCTGTTGAAATAAGTCAATATTTTTAATTATAGAATTTTTTACTATAAAAAATAATTCACCTAATTGCAGTATAAGATTAATGCCTTTTAATACGCTTTATTGGAAATAAGCCGTTTTGGTGGCTAATTTATAGTTTTTTAGATTTATTTTCTTTATTTTCAGTTAGAAATTTTCGATCTGATTTTTCGACTTGATTTTTCATTATATATAATTTTCAGTTAGAATATTCAGTTATTAAAATAATACTATTTTTCGATATGATTTTTCGACTTGATTTTTCATTATAATACTATTTTTGTGCTAGAATATTAATCCAAATAATTTGTAACTATTTAAATACCTTTTTATAAAGACCCTGTATATATTGTTCAGTAGGTAATAAGACCAAATAATTTGTAACTTTTTAAATGCCTTTTATAAAGACCCAGTATATCTGTATACCCCTTTCCTCTTGAAATAATGTGGGTTTTTTATTTAATTTTTCGAGTTATTTAAATAATACTATTTTTTTATTGGAAATTTTTAAGATTCTAGTAAATTGCCTTTATCTTTTTCGATAGAGATTCGTCTAATTACTGTTTAATTGTTTTTGGGTCCATTTTACAGTTATTATAATAATAATTTTCGGAATGCTATTATGTTTTGAGTATTTTTTAGCTTGTTTTCCTGTTGAAATAAGTAAATATTTTTAATTATAGAATTTTTTACTGTGAAAAATAATTTGCCTAATTTAGTTTAAGATTAATGCCTTTTAATACGCTTTATTGGAAATAAGCCGTTTTGGTGGCTAATTTATAGTTTTTTAGATTTATTTTCTTTATTTTAAGTTAGAAATTTTCGATCTGATTTTTCGACTTGATTTTTCATTATATATAATACTATTTTTGTACTAGAATATCCATGCTGCTTTTAATAAAATTTTTTCAATCTGGTTTTTGGTTTGATTTTAAAGATTCCAGTAAATTGCCTTTATCTTTTTTTCGATAGAGATTCGTCTAATTACTGTTTAATTGTTTTGGTTCATTTTTTAGTTATTATAATAAAACGGTTTTACCAGCTAAATTATAGTTTTCAGAATGCTAATATGTTTTGAGTATTTTTTAGCTTATTTTCCTGTTGAAATAAGTAAATATTTTTAATTATAGAATTTTTTACAATGAAAAATAATTCGCCTAATTTAGTTTAGGATTAATGATTTTAATACACTTTATTGAAAATAAGCCGTTTGACGGCTAATTTATATTTTTTGCTGTTAAAATAATAGGGATTGATTTTTTAAGATTTATTTTCAGTTAGAAATTTTTCGATCTGATTTTTCGCGTTGATTTTTCATTATATATAATTTCGGTTAGAATATTCAGTTATTAAAATAATACTATTTTTATTAGAAATGTTTTTAAGATTTATTTTGAGTTAGAAATTTTTCGATCTAATTTTTCGACTTGATAAAATAATGAAAACATTATATATGTCGGCATCACCCTTGTAACCGTTTATGAATTCGTAGCCACTCGAAGAACTGTCGCCGTCGATGGAATGTTGAGGATTTGTTTTTGTTTATGTTACAGAAATATTAGAGTACCAAATTGTTATGTCTTCAGGGTTAAGTTTAGCCTGTGTGTGAAAGACCATCATTATCTAACTTTTGTAAACACTTCCTTATATGGTCATGTTTGGTAAAAAGTAAACTGATAGGTTAAAGGAATGCACTGGGTACCGCCCCCGTGAACGGAACAAAACTGAAAGCTCGGGAAGCAACTGGATCATTCAATTGATGACACAACCATAGCCGTGTGGCTTTTATTAATATTATTGTTATTATTGTTTTGATAGAAAAGTAGTGAATAGGTTGCTAGAACTGACAGTGGCGGACCGTTAGTTCCTATTTCATAACTTGTATGACAGCTCCCGTATTTGTAATAAATAGTGTCACGTCACCCGTGTATTATTTCTATGGAGACAACGGAGTAAACTAATTCCCATGTCCACCAGGTGTCTCCGACATCAGAAGTGGGATTCGTACGGCCAAAAGGACGAAATTTGCAAAAAGTGAGTGTGCGAAAACCCGTGATGAAGGTTTGGAAAAAGTGAAGAAGTTAGAGAGACAGTTGTTGTCGTCGACATCCTGCAGTGTTGTGTTACCCGTTTCATCGTGCGGAAATGTCAAAATACCTCCATTCGACCCGTTTTCGAGATTTGTCGACCTCGAAGGGTGATGTGCAATAGTAGATTTGTGGGTGACAAAAAGCAAACCAGCGAAATGGAACTAATAAAGGTGTTATCGAATTCCCGGAAAGGTGAAACTATTAGGTGGTATATTACTTTGGTTCCACGCGCGAAAGTCTTGTTAGACGAAGATTTCAACTAGAGCAGCCGAACGATGCTAAAAGTATGTGTGCTATGCTGCAAGGGAGACTTGGTAAGCGTCCGGCGCTATTTCTTTCCGGTCATCATACTGGAACGAATCGTCGCGCCCCAACTTCCGAGCACGAAAGTAGCCTTTACTTCCCAATGAAATGTCACACCTGCGATCGGAATGGACATCGATCAATTCATTGTAGAAATCGTCAAGAATCGTCATCAAGGGTTGTTATTTGCTAAAAGTGTGGA